AGGCCTGAAAAAATGGTCACTGATAACATGGAACTCTGAAATCAGATTTAACAGAAATTTGTTGTTTCAAGGTCAAAATTCCTGGTGTTTCTGACCTCAAAAAAAGGCAGATCCCATAAAGCAATAATTTATAAACATATATATCAAAGCCCCACAGGGCTTGAATATTCTGATTTCTGTTGTTTAATGGCTTTTTATTTAATCTTTCTCTGATCATTAYGAATTTAACTAATCCAGTCTGCAAAGCACATAAATTAGCTGGGTTCTTCTGTGCTGAGCACACCTAGACCAGGAGATTTTTGGTGCTTTAGTGAAGCACATTTTCCTACTTTTCTCACTGATTAAAACGCTCAGAAAAAAATCCAAATTGCACTGGATTCTTGGATAATTTAGGAGAGGGATTGTTCACAGAAAGTGACCTGATAAGAACCCAGAATGAAGTGCTTGAGCAGATGCAATAAAGCCAAATGCAGCTTTATTTTGTTCCAAGTAATTTCAAGTCATATGTGTGCAGCAGTGTATCTATAGACAGGCATGTGCACACACATTTGGAGTCTTACACTTGTAAAAGAGCATTACATTTCCTTTCTCTTTACAGCAAAGCAAATCAATTCATTTTTTCCCCTCTGTAAAGTAAAATTATTCCAGTTTTAAAAAAAACTTGGTTTTTGGCAGTTTCTTCCAGTGTGCAAGCCAAATATTCTGGCTTCAGTATCACGCAGACAAATTCAGCAACATCAAGAATTGAAAAAAAACTAATCAGGGCCTCCAGAARAATGGTGTAGAATAAAAAAGTAATAATTAGAAAGTGGTTCTAGATGTTAAGTACYGGGTTCTTTTCATCTGTCCGTGTTTTCTGGATTCTAAGTGCAACGAGAGACTAAAAATTTACTCTCTGAAATGGAGTTTGATTTTCACATAACTAAATGATCCCAGGAAAAGAAGTTTAAAAAAATGATAATTCTGAGTTTCAAGACGAAATCATCGCATGAAATAAGAGTGGTTGCAACTAATGATGATTTCATTAAACAATTTCAAGCTTCTCAAGATCAGTTAAATTCAAAGACAAAAATCAGTAGTAACAAGCTCAGGGAATGGAAATATCTGGGGTTTTTTTCCTTCCCCCTGACCTTAATTTGTTGCCTTCCCAAGTACAGACCTTGCTGTAGCCTTTTTGCCGAGTCATTTCTCATGGGGACGCCAATTTTAGGGACTCATTAAATGAAATATCTCATCCTAAAGAAAGTCCCATGAGTACTTCAAAGTGCTCTCCCTCTCCAGGCTCTTCTGCAGTGTTTTATTCCATGTTTTTGTGGTGTAATGATGTTTTTCCTTCGGGTGAGATGTGCTGAGTGTTCCAGTGACACCTCTTGGATCCTGATTGAAACTCTTTTGTGGSACTGGGACTTTCAGGGGACTTTGATGGGACTTCTGCTTTGTCCCTAGTGGGATGATCTTAATCTTTTCATTTGAGGTTAATACTGGTGAGTTTTGTCACTCCAGCTTGGTCTCCAGCTCAGATTTGCAGTTCTCTCAAGATTCCTCTGCAGATCAATAACAGATTTCCTCACCTCCAAATTTGCCTCTTTTTCTGTCTCTACTTGCCTAGATTACTGCACATTGATGCCAATAAATATGCTTTTTTTTACCAAAAACAGCCTGATCTCCATAAAGAACAGCTGCAAATACCCTGAACAAGGTTGTATTTTCCTGGAGAATGTGATAATTCCATTGTTTTACAYCTAAATAACAGAATTTCTTACTCACGACTCCTCTTTCCTTAGCCTAACAGAAGATAAAACCTTCTGTACATTTATTTAATGGTCAGACTTAACCTTGAGCTGAGTACAATTTTGCTGAACTTTTGGCTCATCCTTCACCTGGGACTGCACTCTCTGGATTGTAATTCATGCATGTGTGATATAAACTTGCAGGATTGTTTATCCAAACCTCTGTGTTTTTCTTCCATCTCTCTAAAGAGGAGGTTCCTAAATGACATTTTCTGGGGTGTTAAAACTCCTTCTGTATTTCACTTCCAGCTGCATTCCCGTGCCCTCCCTCCTGCTGCCCGTGGCTCTTTCCCTCCCCTTTGGTTTCCAGGGTGACTGGGTTTCCCTGATGCAGATGCTCTCCTTGGCTCTCTGCCATCCCTCTCCCGGAGACAGAGCRGAGTTTTCACTTTCCCTCGGATAGGGAGGACTCCTGCTTGCTCTTCTGCCTGCCCAGGCAGCTTTTCTCCCTTCTGAGTAGACGTGGTTTAGCAGCTGCTGAAAGGATCTGATGTGCCTGCAGGGTGGGATCAGCAGCCTCTGAGCCAAGTGAGTGAAGTGGAAGTCACCTTGCATTATTTTTTATTTTTCCTTTTTTTTTTTTTTTTTTTTTTTTTTTTTTTTTTTTTTTTTTTTTTTTTTACTCTGATCCTTCTGGTGCTGGAGTCCAGCCAGTTTTCACTCTCTTGATGTGGCTGTGATGAGGAGAAACAGGACTCTAGGGTGGTACATGTGCAGCAGAGGTAAAGCCTTTTTTGTCTGTTTTTCAGGATGGATAAATTCAATTTTCAGTGYTACTGACATTGGAAAATAGATCCTTGCAGCACTTTTAGGGGCATTTGCCACAGAGTTTTTGCCAAGCTTTAACTCAAAAATTGATAAACCTCAGGACAGGGCATCTTTGGATTCAGGTGTGGAATTGCAGGTGGTTCAGAAACTTTGTGAAGGAATTGGACTGTTTTCTGTCACTGAGCAAACAGATACTGAGTCATCTTTGTGTTCAGCCCAAAAAGCAAAAATTTGAGATCCTGCATGCCTGTCCCAGGTTGCTGGTAAATGTGGCCCCATCCTGGAATCACTTTCTGAGSTCAGTGAACAGTTTTGAGCCTCAAATCCAGGCAGAGTTGCAATTTGCTAAGTATGACTCAGCTGCAGCCAAGAAGTCCTRATTTTAGTCAATTAACTTCATGGAGTTATTTTTCCAGTTAAAATATTATTTTGAGATCCCAGTAAGAAAATCTTCATTGTTGCAGAATGTAGGGATGGAAATTTAGGGATGCAAAAATTGCTCTTTAGTATTTCAGATTCTCCGCTTTTCCACAAGGCAGGAGAATTTTGTCTCATTTTTTCCCCTATGTCTCCTCTGGCAAAATGTCAAATAATTCAAAGAGCAGGACTTTYAATACCCTGTTCTGTGCTTCGGGGGCACAATGACAAAGTGCGCTGGGCTGCTGCTGTGAGTGTGAACTATGGAATGTTTCCAAATATTTGGACAAATGTGGTCCTAAACTCAAGTTCATCCTTCATCCTCTCCCCTGCACTTTAAACCATCCATCTTTTGAGGTTTTTTTCAATGCACTTTGCTTGTTTTTAAAGCAGTGATATGTATGCAAATCTCCCAGTAGCTTTATAGGAAATCCAGGAGCAGCAGCTCCATCATAATCCTCAGATGCTTTTCCTTCCAACTCAGTTAATTCATTTTAAAACACAACACCTCACATCTAGCTCGTGTGCTGGCTCTTTCTGCATGGAACTTGTTTATAAAAGCTTTTTTTTGCAGTGGTTGGGAAATGAAGACAAAAAGCATGGAGCCACTTCCATTAACAAAGTTAGTGGGAAGCTCTTGCTGGAGCAGTTTGTGATGTTTGTACATCTCGCTGCAAGAAGGATGTTCTATATTTAAAACACTTCCTTGGAAGAAGCACTGGAACAGAGTTAACAGCTTTTCCTGTGAACACAGCTTTTCCTTTTTTTTCAGCCAAGAAGAAATAGCTGAGGAAGGCTGCAAGAGGAGCAGGCTGATTCCTGACAGGTTAGAGCCCTCCTGAGCAAATGGGAATGAATGTCCAAGGGTTTAAACTGGAACAGGGAATGATCCTGGATTCCAGCATTCCAGCCTTCTGAGCATCCTCAGTTTCATTCAAAGACACCAAATACCAGCACAGATTTTAACCATCCCAAAGCTGCCATGGCCAAGGGCTTGAGCAGTCAAATAGACACAGATTTTTGTGTTGTGCACACCAGGCTGTGCTATAAATGTGAAAATGACTTTATTCATCAATAGATGACACTCGGAGGAGTGTCTCACCTTACAGCAGGGRTTGGGGCAGGGACAGATTTCCTCAGCACTTTTGGAAGGACTATTTGTAAATGAAGTGCAGGATTCATTACAGAGATTAGTCAAGGTTGTTTGATGAATTTGGGCATTACCACATCTGAAATAACTTTGGATCCTTACTTTCCTACGGTTTATTATAACAAAAATAAATCTATCAAGTGCTGAAATATTTACAGCAATGTTAYAGAGAAGATCCTTCATGTGTGATCYKGGCTTGATTTATTTGCCCTGAATTAATGTGGATGACTCCTCTAAGAAGGGTTTAAATGCAGTTCAGGCAGTGTTTGGCATTGCTCCTCCAATGTGTACATATATATGGGGCAAACACAGAATTCTTTTATCATGGAATTGTGATTTTTAGAGGCACAGATTTTATGTATCACCATGTGCAAAAATACTTCATCTGCCTCTCATCCTTCAATCTTTATGCAACTACTGAAATGTAGCATATAAGATTTGATGAATATTTCTTCCTCTTTAAGGATCTGACAGTTTGATCACAAGGGAAGATACCCAGCTGTTTTGAAAGTAAAGATGTCAGAGGGAAATATTCCTGCAGCTGATGTGTCTTAAGGAGAGATTGTTTGTAACCAGGGAGTGAAGCATCTTGAAAACTCCACAGTGTCAKTTTGAGAGTCTCGGTGCTAACAAGTTAATCTCACACTGGCAGCTGCTTCCTAAGGAGGAAAACCAGTCCTGTACTGGAGAGCTGAAATATCTGTTCTGCCCAAAAGCTTTCTTATATTTTYRCTAAAATTTTATACCRTATTTGTTCCCATTATGCTTAACAYGCTATCACTTGAAAATGMTATAACTAATTTAAGCCATTTTCACGTTTTCTGTCACTGTTTCATCAATTCTGTGCTTAGACCAGGTAAAAAGGACCCACTTACCCTGTCTTCYTCAGCTCTCAAGTCTGGCATTGTGCTCACACAAAGGCTTATAGCTGTGGTGGCCACGAAGAGGATGGAGAGGCAAGCAAAGACTTTGCCCGGCAGTCCCGACTGGGGATTTTCCACCATRTCTCTGAGCCTGTTCATGAACTGTCCAAACCTGGTTTTCTCATCCAAAACACACGAGGCTTCCTTGCTCCTCCGGAGCTCCTCTTCTTTGCGTATCTCGGCCAGCTCCTGCAGTTTTTGGAACAGCTTCCGAAAGCAGCAGTTCTCCAGGTTGGATTCCTCAATGCCCCAGTACCTCAGCTCCTCCTGGAAAGACAAGGCACACATATCCCTTAAGAGCATCAGCTTCCCCGCTGCCAGGAAGCTGACAATCATCCCGAAAGCGTTGGGGTTCCGGTCGAAGAAAAACTCATGGGTGTCTTCRTCGTAATCGTCACACAGCTGAATGATCTCCTCGTAGCTGCTGCAGAGCTTCAGTTTGCTCAGTCTGGTCAGGGGAAAYTCGTCCAAAGTGCTCCAGGGCAGCAGGTACTTGATGCCCCCAACGTTGATCATGATTTCTGTCTTTAGGTCGGCGGCAGAGGCTTGCTCAGGGTGGTAAATCCTCCTGGCTCGCTGGTAGTGGACCCCTTTGACRGAAGGGGTTTCCACGCAGATGGGAAGGAGGTGGCTCAGGGAATTGCAGGAGTTGTAGCTAATGTTACTATAGTCTTGGTCGCTGCCTCTGGAGAGAATAGGCATCTCTGGGAGTTCTCACCGGGACATCCAGAGCGGCATCGGAGCGGGGGGAACTGTCAGCCACAACAGGCAGCAAGGAGGAGAAAACATAGCAGAGGTTACTGAGAGAGAAAAGGAGTTTCCAGCCACTTTCCTCAGTCACAAAATTGATGAGTGCCTGTTTTGTAAGTAAAAGTCACCTCTGCGCTTCTCCCTGGAACCTGCAGCCTGTGAATGAGCTGTGCTTCGCAGCCTCATTGGTTGTCTGGCAACACAGGCACGGAGCACAGCTCCAGCCTCATTCATAATTATCGCATCACCGAGGGTCGGGAGCCCGCAAAACCCAACGGGAACACCTCGGGCTCTTCCCCAGGAGGGCTCGGGCATCGCCGGGTCGGTTTTTCCGCTCGTTGTCGCTTCGCTTTCTTATTTCTATAAACCCTCAACCRCGCGCTAACTCAACTAAGCTGCTTAACAGTTATTAGAGACGGGGTGGCAATCACCTGCCATCAGCTGGAAGTTCCTAATTTCTTTAACCGGACTGYTCAWAAMGCGATCCCGCCGGCGCTCCCCGCAYGCCCGTTCTGCCTCCCGGGGGATTGCGGGGATTAGCCGGGAGAGGTTCACAAAATTCCCCGAGTGGGGAAGAGCTGTCTGAACGATGACTATTCTTATCAACCCGGCCTCGAGCAGCTGCGAATTGCTGAGAAGTTAGAGGAGAAAASTTTGTTAAAGCGGGCGGGAAGTGTTTTATCAGCTCGGAGCGGGGCAGCGCATCAACCACTCCCCTCCTCCTGTCGGGAACGAACCCCTTGTTCTGCCCGTAGTTTCTAGAGATTAAAAAGCGCTCCTTACCGCAGGTCAGCGCACTGTGAACATTGCTGGAAGTTGCCCGAGGTGGCCGAGCCCCGGGGCGGGGGCAGATGCCGGGATCCCCGCGGGTCGGGCTCACATTCCGCACTCRGAGCGGGCTCCGGCCGCAGCTCCTGCGGGGATTGCCCGGTGTCGATTGCACGGAAAATCGCTGGAGCACCCTGGAGCTGGCTGGCTGGCTCCTCTTCCTCCTTCTGTCCTCTCCTGGAAGGGGAAAGCAGCCGCGTGTGTTCGTGTAACATATGTTGTGCTGAGGGATGCTCTGCGGTGTCCTGCGGGGCAGCTCCTGGGCTGGGGCTGGCTGGTGGAAGGTGCCGAGGGAGAGCCGCTGGTTCCTGCCCTCTCCCTGCCTCTGCTCTGCTTCCCCCGGGACTGCCAGTGTGGTCCTGGAAGAGGAGGGGAGAGGGAAGGGGGAAGGGCTTAGCAATAATCTCTCCAGCATCCCTCCAGCAGGCAGCAGGCAGCAACTGGGGAAGAACACCGAGTACAAGTCCCCGGCTAATGAGGTTTGATAATCAGTAAATTSTGGCAAATCTACTTAATAAAACAATTTCAGTGTCTATTAACTCCTTCCATCACGCTCAGTGATGCTACAGTGGCTCGGTCTGGAGAAGCCACTGAAATTCCTCGCAGACATTTCCATGACCTGCATCCCTCCTGCAGCTGGGATTTGCTCTTTAATGTGCTGGGATGGAAAAGGGAGTTTGTGGGGTTTGTGGATTCCGTGCCTCAGCATTCCTTGGGCTGTTGGGAAGTGCTTTCCTCCCAGAAAAGAAAGGATTTGTCTTGTAAAGCACACACTATTCCAGATCTGCAGTGCTTTTCCAACAGCCAAGAACTTTTTCCTCTCCTCTTTACAGATGATGGGAAATCAAAATTTGTTGTTTTCTCACTTGGCTCCTTCACGGCTGTAGGGGGTTGAGCTTGCTGTAGTGCTTTTGGGTTCTGTGATTGGGATGGCACAAATTCCACACAAATTCTGCTTGTTTGACCTCAGTCAGAGGGTCCAAGAGACCTGGGATCAGGTTCTATTGACAAAACCCTCTGTGGRGCTCCCCAGAGCAGTGAGAAAACCTTGGTTTGTGTCTGCACCCGGAGGCTCTGAGGTGAATCCTGGTTCCATAGGG